TCAAAACAACCCAATAGCTGGGTTTGTCCCTTTTTAACCCAGCGCTGGGTTATATTTAACCCAGCATTTTTTAGAGTGTACATTTAATGTGCTTTCTATGGACATAAAATCACTTTTGCAAATTTCTTTTGATGCGGACATCTTAACGTCTTTGACCCATATACAAATTATAAGTTTTTCTTACCTCATTAAATTTTGTTCTCACTTCTTTAGAAGGCTTGTCTGAATTCAGCTTCAGTTGCTTCTTTGCCTTGTTCACGTCTTGCTCAACTCTTTTCCAGTCTACTGTAATGTAGCCTGTGTGATGAGCAATCTGAAAGTGCATCGGAGACTGCTTATATCTTTAAACAATCATAAATAATATACGCTCTCAACGTAACAATTATGATAAGCACTTGGTTTTTACAGGTTTTAGAATTTACCTGGAGCAAAAAGAAGCCTCCACCTACAGCTGATGCTGCAAGCTTCCCAACTTTCTGGAACAAGTACCCTGCACACCTAACAGAAACACAAGAGTCAGCTGTTTGGTTACACTCTACTCCGTGTTTTGATCCGCATCAATGTTACACATAACGACTAACCAGCCGCTCACTCCTCCAATGGCCAACTGTGTTGCAACGGAGTACTTCTCAGCAGCTGGTCCAGAGTTATTTTTGCCAAACATTTTGTTCCACCACCTTTGTTTCTTGACATGCTCTGCCAGTTCCATCACATCAAAGGTTTCGCTGTCTGTCAGAACACAGTAATATTTATTTTATTTAACGTGTTTAAATTAATCCTGAGTTACTTACAAAAGTTTCAATATTCCAGATAAGGCTTTTTCATACTGCAAAAGAGTGACAACTGTTTAGCAAGTAATTATTTATCAAAAGCGATAAATCATGTGTCATACAGGTCAATAATACTGTATATAAGATTGTCCACAATAAAGAAAAGCAAAAGTAGTTCAAAAAAATGTCTTGCCTTTCTTTGATTTTGAGCACAAATATTCTTTAGATATTATTATTTATTAAAAATAATATTTTATATTATTTTATTTTATAATTTTCTCTCTCTCTCTTTTTTTTTTTTACTTTATGCCCCAATAAAAATATCACAATTAATTTTAAAACAGAAATTAAAAACCTATTCAAGGCATTGCATGTATGTCATTGTTTCTGTTATGTTGTGTCATACCTGAAGGCATAGAAGCAAGTTTAAATAAGTCTACTTTAACATTAAAGTTCTACTTTACTGTTGGGGGTAGAAACACTGGCTGATACAACACAAGGTCAAGGAGAAACGCAGTAAGAAAAACAAGCAGATTAAATGCAATGCTACTGTTCTCCATCCAGGTGGGATCATGGACTGTGGATACAGGAGCTCCCCGAGAGAGCGATCACAGAGAGCAGTCAGCATCTTTACGTGACAACCCTGGCTAATGATGTAACCTTGCAGCATTCCAGACATAAGCCAGACACAGAAATAGCACACTACTGCAGCCAACAGACTGACCACAGTATGGCTTTCAGACACATCTGAAGTAAAGAGACATGAGTTTAACATGTCACGAGTATAACACTCACACTGTGTCTGTATTCTGCTAATAATACAAAGCCCGGTCTCTTCTTCTTGGTGTTGGATCTTCAGCAATGGTTCTGTAGATTGTGTTTGTATACTGATCTATTTGGGCGTCAAGCGAATGTTTCTCTGTCCTTGACAGGATCATTCCAACAGGCTTTTAGGAGGAAATAATATTTGCTGTTTTAGTAGTCACATCCAAGGCTTCTCTTATATAATCACATATTAAGGACGAGGGATGTGTGGCTAAATATGACTCATGCCACAAACATTAACTGGTTTTGCATGTGATTTTCTGTGCTTTGCTAGTGTGTGAATAAGCGTGTTACAACGTTTTAAATGTTATATCATCTCTCTTCATCGTTTATATACGTGGTTTAAATAGGACGCATTTTTATGTAAACTGTACTGCACACTGAAGGACGTGTGTTTACATGCGTGTAATCCTAATTCAGCATCTCTGAAGGTCCTTTCGCGACGAGCAGGTTTATTATAACGTCAAACAGAACATTGGGTCATATGCAGCCTTATTTAAATGTGTATTAAGTGATAGAAAACAAGAAAAGCATGGTGCTTACCCTTCTCAGACATTTTCCTGCGTGTTTTCTATCCGGACGATAATTTTCGTGCGCATCCTCTGTGTCATGTGACCTTTACAGTGGGCGTGGCTTAGACCGATCGGCGTTTGACATCAAATACCGCGAGAGCGATTCGAAAGCATAAGGTGCGTCTGCTCTCGCGGTACTTCAACGTCATACACCGATCAGTCTGCGCCATTAAATGTTTATTTTGGGCTGTGTGGATGATTTGATATGGCAGAAAATTCGGAAGTAACCTCATAAATATTTAATCACAAATAAAGTAAAATACATGTATTTCAAACTCATTTATAAATATTACCCTGTAATATTTCCTTGTAAACAGATTTAATTGTGATATTGATATACTTACGTTTTGTGGTCTACAGAAACGTTTTTTCATTTGTTGTGGAGTTGTCCTTATTTAACCAGTTTTTGGTCAGATTTCTGCTCGTTTGTTAGAGATCATATCATGCCCAGCTTTCAACTTTGTTTTGAAAATATTGTATTTGTTTTATTCACTTATGACATGTCTTTCCATAAGAAATATTGTTTGATTAATTTGTTACTTTTAATGGCAAGTTTTCTATACATAAATGCAAGTACGGCAATTATAAACCATTATTTATCATTTTGAAATCAGAAGTTCAGCAATAGGCTACCTAAAATCTATGTATAATCTGATTAAACAAGAAAGCTGTTAAGTGTATTCATTTATGTAAACATTTCCATGTTTTATTTTATTTTATTATTATTATTGTTGTTGTTGTTGTCTCCACCCCCTGGCTACTGTAAAATGTTGAATATGAGTGATTCAATAAAAAAAAAAAAAAAAAAAATTATTTTTTTATGTAAACATTTCCATGTCTTATTTTATTTTATTATTATTATTGTTGTTGTTGTCTCCACCCCCTGGCTACTGTAAAATGTTGAATATGAGTGATTCAATAAAAATAAAAAATAAAAAAATTATTTTGGAGTGAGCTATTTTTTTTTGCAACAGATAATATTCCGTTTAGGGCACTACTTCATTCATTTCTATGGTATCCACAAATAGTATTTGACTGTCTTGAAACTCTGAAAGTTATTATTTCATTTAATAATTTGCCTCTCTTCTCATTCAATTTATTATGTCTGTCTATGATTTAATCTAAATGATTTTAATGTTTAATCAGTGAATTATTTGGTAAATCTATACATTCCTATATAGATCCTGTTGAACTGTTTGCAACATGGCTGATTTGAAACATGCATCCATCGTTGAATTAACCGATTGCTAAAAGTATTCAACTGAAAGAGTATACTGTTGTTTTTTGATGAACTAACCAAATGTTCTCATTACAAAGATCTTGTGCTTTGAAACAATTATGTAGACTAAATATTTATATATAACTGTAATGAAGGAATGAGATAAGGTTCTGATTAGCAGTGTTACAATACAGAAAAAAATAATTCATTACCCTTACTTAATTTAACTGAAGAAAGGTTTTAACACACAATTTAATTTAGTTCATTCCAAATAAATCTGCTTAGTTGTGTAAACACAATTTAGTTGGTTTTGGTCAAACTGATTTGATGTAATAAGTTGAACTTAACTTTATTATATTTGCCAAACAAAACTTTCTCATGAGGGAACAATTTTATTATTATTATTATTATTATTATTATTATTAATTTACTAATTTACATAGCCAGGTGACGATGACAATGATAAGTACATCCATAAACTAAATCAATAGAGCGAGGTGAATTTAGGTAAAGTGAGCCATTTTTGGTTAAACTTGTAATTTATATATATATATAGCACAATCAAGTTTAAACAGCCCACTTCACCTGAATTTACCCTACTGAATATAAAAAGTATATGTAATAGCTTTGCATTTAATATAATATTTAAGAGTAAAATGTTATATTTTGTTTTGATTGTACACGTTATTTATTTATTTTTATTTTCATGATGAGGGAGTCCTTCTTTGAGGTGTAATCACCAGGGTCATATTGCTTCAGTCAAAATTATTTTATCATCTAAAGAAATAGTGTCCCTTTAATTAAATAACACCGTTATGCTCTGAAAGTGTAAACTCATTGAGCACATCACAATCAAGTTTAAACAGCCCACTTCACCTGAATTCACCCTACTGAATATAAAAAGTATATGTAATAGCTTTGCATTTAATATAATATTTAAGAGTAAAATGTTATATTTTGTTTTGAGCTGACCCACTTTACCTCACAGCAATATTGGTTTACATTTAGTGAGCAACCATATAATCCAGAAATGAAAATATGAACATCAAAGGGCTTATTACCTTTCATGATGAGGGAGTCCTTCTTTGAGGTGTAATCACCAGGGTCATATTGCTTCAGTCAAAATTATTTTATCATCTAAAGAAATAGTGTCCCTTTAATTAAATAACACCGTTATGCTCTGAAAGTGTAAACTCATTGAGCACAGCACAATCAAGTTTAAACAGCCCACTTCACCTGAATTTACCCTACTGAATATAAAAAGTATATGTAATAGCTTTGCATTTAATATAATATTTAAGAGTAAAATGTTATATTTTGTTTTGATTGTACACGTTATTAACCCAACTGTTGGGTTAGTCCATATTTGACCCAATGTTGGGGTGAAACAACCCAGCATTTTTTAGAGTGTAGAATTGCTCGAGTTCTAAAATGCACAAAAACAACAATTTGATGACTAGCTCCTAAATTTGAATTTTAAATTTGATTTCGTTAGTAATTCTGTGCAGGATAGGCCTTTTAAGTGCATCTAGAAATGACTTACTTCATCTCAGTGTGCCATCCAGTGTTGCGACGTCTTGTTCCTGCAGCGCTGCACATCTCTGAACTCCTGGATGCTCTAACAAAGACATTCGTTGGCTCAGAACCCTACCTTTTGTGCAACCATACCGATTTCCACTGAACTCCTCACTTGACGTCTCACGCAAACTGTCTATTGCTCCACATCCTTCCTCCTGCTGTAGTCTACATTGAATTCTGAGAATACGGAAAAAGCGACTTCCTTGGTTGCAGAAGAGCTTGACAGAGTGTTGTGTCTGCACATGGCAGAGCGTTGTGCTTGTCTGTTCGTCTTAAGCGCGGGTGGCCAGAGTTTATCTGCCCTGTATAAATTTCCCCTGGGCCTCTCCCTTCACCTGGCTGGGAATTGTGTGTGTGTTAGTCACCTTACAAGGGACAGTCCCTTTTGATCGCAACATTTTAAAGAAGCATCTCTGCTCACAGGCAATACCTTGGACAGGGACTCTTGCAAACTTCTAAAGATGAATGGACCTGGGTCCATGCTTTGGTCCTCTTGCGGGAGTTATTAACTTGTCTAAAACTCTTTTAGCAAAATGTTGCTATTCTGAAAATAATTCCACCTCATTTTGTTCCAATTTATTACATCTGGAGTTTGTTGAGTGATTATTGATTTATTTGGATGAATAAACAGACTAATTAAATGATAGACATTCTCTATTTATTTTCATATGATAATTTTATCAAACGAAGGCAAGAATTGTATCACATTAAATAAATAAAAAATACATTTACAAAAAGAATTATGAACAAACAAGCCAATTGAAAAGAAAGACATTCTCTTTTTGAATACAATAAACTATTTTCATATGATCATTTTATCGAAAGAAGAGAAGAATTGTATCATATTAAATAAAAAATAAATGTACAAAAAAACGATGAATAAACAAACTAACTGGAATGAAAGACATTCTCTTTTTAAATACAATAAACTATTTTTATGTGATAATTTGATCAAAAGAAGACAAGAATTGTAGCATTAAATAAATAAAAAATAAATGTACAAAAGTAATTATGAATAAACAAACCAATTGAAATGAAAGACATTCTCTTTTTAAATACAATAAACTATTTTTCTATGATAATTTTATCAAAAGAAGACAAAAATTTTAGCATATTAAATAAAACAATAATGTACAAAAATAATTCTGAATAACCAAACTAATTGAAATGAAAGACATTCTCTTTTTAAATACAGTAAACTGTTTTCATATGATAGTTTTATCAAAAGAAGACAAGAATTGTATCATACTAAATAAAAAAAAATAATGTTCAAAAAAACTGTGAATAAACAAACTAGCTGAAATAAACGACATTCTCTTTTTAAATACACTCTAAAAAATGCTGGGTTAAATATAACCCAGCGCTGGGATAAAAAAGGACAAACCCAGCTATTGGTTTGTTTTGAACCAGCGGTTGGGTTGTTTTGAACCCAACCGCTGGGTCAAAACAAACCAATAGCTGGGTTTGTCCTTTTTTAACCCAGCATTTTTTAGAGTGTACAATAAACTATTTTCACATGATAATTTCATCGAAAGAAGACAAGAATTGTATCACATTAAATAAATAAAAATTAAAACGTACAAAAATATATATTTTTTTAAATCACAAAAATGTTGGTATAAAATTGATTAATATTTAATTTTCAAACTCATTTTTTCTTGCCTTATTTTCATTTTCTTGTAACTGGTAATTGAGATAACAGAACAGAGATAGAACCCATACTTAAGTTAAAGTCAATTTTTTAATCCTGTGAGTTTGACGATGAAAAGCACTTTCGATGCTGTCTCATACTGAAGGTAAAGGAAAGCATGGGAAACAATTAGATCTAGTGCCAAATGTATATGTCTTGTGTGAGACCATTACATCATTCTGTATCTCATCATTCTGTACTTATTTGACCTTCTGTGGTTTCTGCACTGATGCCATCATTCTGCTAAAAAAGTCTAACCTTAACTGTCCCCGAAAAGGCTTCAATTTGCATAAACATTTTGGTGAATCATAAAGTTCCTTGCCATCTAAGAAGGAGTGTGGCATGCAGGAAGTCAAAGCAAAGTTTGTGAGTATGCGTACAGGAAATCGTACACCACCCGTCATCCTAACTTGCAGGCGGGGCCTTTTTTGTTTATTTGCGTGTTGTCTTTGATGTTGCCTGGACAGGCTTCAAGTCAGGTTTATTTTGGTAACGCATTTCACAATGCACATACTTTCAAAGCAGATTTACAGATTGGATTACTACTTTGTAAGACTG